CTCAATAAAAGAAGAAAAAGAAATTGAAGAAAAGAATAGAAAAGAAAAAAATATATCCAGTGCAATATATATATTTTTTTTTATTCTTTATCCTTTTATACATTTTTTTTTCTCTCTCATTTTTTTTTCTCTCACTTACTACAAGTCTAACCGCACTACACGCATTATTATAATTATTATTTATACATTTACTTTATTCTTTTTTTTCTTTTGCTGGTCATTTACATTTATATACTGCATAATACACAAGTTTTATTTTGATGAGCGAAAAGAAAAACTTTGACACTCTGGGTGACTACTACGACACAGAGTCCGAGTATGACAGATACTCCCTGGGCTATCCAGAGGAAAAAAAGCACGGCATAGACAAGAAAAGCATGCCCAAATACGACGAAGGCGAATACAAGTCGGCATATCCCGTAGAAAACCCCACATATAAGAGTGAAAACCCCGATTACTATCCAAACGAGAAATCCACTTATCCCAATGACAAAAAGCACGAGAACTACTATGCTAATGACTATCCGTCTGAAAAGGCAAAGCCATATTATCCTATGAAGGATGAGCCCTACAACGACTATAGTGATAACAAGAATGATGACTTGTACTATGACGATGCCATAGCGTCGCCGGTAAAAACAGGGTTTAACAGTGGCATAAAGAGCAAAAGCAAGGGAAAGGGAAAGGGCAAGGGCAAGGGCAAGGAAAAGGTCCCAATTGTCATGAACAACGGTGCTGTGGCTGCGCCAGGCGCTGGCATGGACGACAATTACAGGCCTGAAGACGACCTCTTTTACGACTCTGTCGAGCCCAACTATGGCAACCAGGCAAAGGACAATGACACGCATTTTGACCTCGACGCTTTCAGAAACCCAGATAACATGCGCTATCGTGGCTCAACAGAAAAGCCAGCTCAAACATACAACAACAACAACAACGGCAGCTTTGACGAGAAGCAGTACTACTACCAGGAAAAGCGCAGCTCTGACTACCTGCCTCCCTATGCAGAGTCTGGCCCAGAGGGCAAGCATATGATTTACCCGTACATTGGCAAATGGGCCAGACTGTCGAGAGCATGGGCCACGCAGACGGTGATTCTGCTGATTTTCGTGGGCTACGGCTACCTCATCTTGGCTGGCGACGCCAGGGACAAGGCCAAGGAGGCGCTGGGCTACATCAACGGCAACTGCCTGGCCGTCGAGACAGCCGCAGAGGCCGTGGTCAACGCGCCCAGAACCGCTGCCGAGTCCAGCTTGGCCATGCTGGAAAAGGCCACGATGGGACTGATCGACGTAGCGTACAACTCGCTTAACAAGATTGTCAATATGATCGAGAGCCTGATTATCATTGTGCTCAAGATCTACGTCGGCACGTTCATCTGCATTTCAGAGGTCATCATCCGCACTGCTTTGACCATGATCACCGAGGTCGGCAAGATCATCACCGATTTGCTCAACAAGGCCATTGACTCGGTCATGGGCACGATGCAGAACTTTGCTGCCAACGTGGCCAATGGCGCGCAAGACGTCATCAACAACATTGCTGGCGCGTTCACGGGGAATGACAATACGGTGAGCTTTAACGCCGACGAAATACGCAAGGAGCTCAGCGTCACGATACCCTCCGACTGGGTCAACAGCATCAGCGACCTGCAGAACAAGATCCCCACCGAAGACCAGATCTTCGGCAACATCACGCAGCTGCTCGACGTCCCGTTCAACATGCTTCGCGGCGTAATCTTCTCTGGATTTAGCGGCATCCACATCAACTTTACCGAGTCGGTCAAGCTTCCTGCAGAAAAGAACCTGACCATGTGCGAGACGCCAATTGGCGAGGAGACAATCAATGGAGTTGGCGATGGAGCCGCGCATATCTTTACCATGGGCGGACTCGCAGTTATCGGCGCAGCCTTAATCTTGGTGCTGATAAAGATCTACAGCACAATGCGCTATAACAAACGCTACGACACCAGGATGACCGAGTTTAGGCAGGACCTCGCGTACTACACGCCGCCCATCAACCACAGCAAAGACGAGGTCGCTGAGACTCCGGCTACGCGTCAAGAGATGGACCTATATAAGCTGCCAGGCAACAGATGGCTCGATACTCTGGTTAGATGGCAGAGAAAGAAGTGGGGAGACACTCCGCGTGCCCTGGCATGGCGCTGGTGGTTCGACTATGTGCTTTACCCGCCAGCAGTGGCCTGCTTTATCGCTGGCGTCATCGGCATTATTGTGGTTTTGGCCCAGGTAAATGCAATCAACGGCCTGCGCAAAGAGTTTACGCCTATTCTGGGCAGAGAACTCGATGAATTCCAGCAAAAGTTTATTGGCGACCAGCTCTATGGAAGCATACGCAACGACTCCGTAGCACTGGCCAACGACATCAACAGCGGCATCAACAGCAAAGAGCTCGAGCTTAACCATACGCTCTTTGGCCCGATAGGCGATGGCACCAAGTCGCTTAACGACACACTCAACGGCTTTATCGATACCTATATCAAAGGAATCCGCTCGGTGTTTGGCGGCACAGTGCTTGATTACCCAGTCGAGGGATTTGTCAACTGTACTTTGACCAAATACATCAACACTTTGCAAAAGGTCCTGACCTTTATAAACGAGTATCTGGGCGGCATAGATCTCCCACGCATCGACGAAGATGTCTTGTACAGCCCAGCGTTAAAGCTGCTCAGGCCAGTCAACAAGACTGTTGATGCCCTGCGACTTGCCGTTGTAGGCACGTTTGTGCCCAATGCCACGCTTCTGGACCCTGACTGGTTCGAGCCAGAAAGCGAGTTGGAGTCGGAAAGAGCCGCATATAAGAGCAGCCTCGAGGCTGTAGAAGACGAGGAAGAGAGAAGCGAGGACTCGATGGACGAGATGCTCGAAAGTCTCGACGATGCCAGTGAGGAGAGCAAGGACAGCGTAGATGACTCGGAGGACGGCGATGCCAAGCTATTGTTTAACCAGAACCAGAACCAGAGCTTGACCAGTGAGTCATCAGCATCAGCATCAGCAGATGGTGATGCTCCTGCTCAGCTCCGCAAGCGCGCTGAGTCTGACAGCCAGACCGAATCAAGTAGTCAGACCGATCAAGACAGTCAGGCCGAATCTGATAGCCAAACAGCATCATCACCATCAGCCTCGGACCCAGCCTCTAATTCTGATGGAAATGAAGCCAACGTCGAGACTGTTGACTCTCTTCCCGAGCTATCCTCTCTGCTTTCTTCTCTATCGTCGTCGCCTTTGCCATCATCCTTGCCCTCAACAACGCCGACACGCACGAAATCCACTGGCAATGAGGAAAACAGTGAGCTAGACAACCTAGATGAAGAGTTAGAGTCACTGAGCATTGACCCCAGCACATTCCCCACCCTGCTATCTAAGGAGCAAGTAGAGTCTGCGCAAAAGTATGGCGGGTACACCGGCGGTCTTGTAGGTATGCTATGCGACTACTATGTGAAAACCCTGCTAGACCAAATCCCCTCGTTCATAGCGCTTATTGGCGTCTGGGTTATACTCATTATCTTTGGTCTTTTCCACGTTGTTTCTGACTACAGGAAGATTAAGCACTATGGCTTGGACAGCCAGCATCAGCAGCAGCATCAGCAGCGGCAGCAAATGTACAGCGAGAATCGTTTCAACTAGAATTTGCATTGGCACCCTTTCAGATTTTTTTATTATTATTTAAAGTTTTAATTAACTATCATTCCTTTCTTTTTTTTATTATAATTTACAGCTATTTGCTTTTTTTCCCCCCTCAAAACATTGGCAAAGAGACTTCAACTTTTTTATTTTATCATTTAAAATAAAAAAAGGCGATTTTTACAAAAGAAACCATGTTTCCATTGTATGCGCTCAATTCTTTGAAGAAAGGAAAAGCACTCATTCGGCATGAAATCATATAAGCTCTCTATGCCTTTTAACTCTTTTCCTTTATCCAAGAAGAAATAAATCCGCAGGCTCTGTTTTATTAAAACAAAGACTTCTTTTAGCGCATAAAATAAGGGGAAAAAAAAGCTCTGTTATATTTACTCCGAGCCAAAATAAAACAATAATATCCGCTGGATATGTATGTAGAAATTTCTTCCCTTTCTCTTCCACCTCTCTATTTTATGCTATTCCTTTTTTTTTCTCTCCTTTTTTCTCATATTTTCTGATTGCGTATTTCTCTACATACATTAATAAAAAATAAATAAAATAAAATAAAAATTTACAATATAAAAATCGTACAAATTACTCGGCTAGGAAACATGTTTGCTTTGAGGCAACACAGACGCAAGCTCACAAAGCTGCACCAAGCGCTTAAAAGAGGAGCCTCCTACTACCATGAGTCCCGTGTAGAGGAATACCCAGAGCCCGAACACAGCGGCTTCACAGTAAGTAAAAGGAAAAAAAAATTAATAAACAAAAATTAATAAACAATGTGGTTACTAATCAAAATACATACATACATACATACATACATATATATATGTTAATTGTAGGTTGAATATGAAGAGTTGCGCGAAAGCGTAAAATCGCTCTGGCGCAAACAGTCTCCCTTAGAACCGCCTCTCAAGATAATTGCATTTGTAATCCCACGAGGCGACCTTGCTCCCACAGACTACTTTATACTTCCGCATTCCAACTACCAGTCCATCCTCAACAACATATCTCTTGACGAATCACGCCTGGTGTTCTATGAGCTCGAGTATTCGCATATGCCCGGCGGCTCGCTGTCCTCAGTTTTCAACGAATACGTCGTCATGCCTAAAGACGTCTCTGAGGGCATCCTGGCCTCTAGAGGAAGCTGCGCGAGCAACATTAGCAATAAAGAGACTGATTGCTTGATCAAGCTAAATTCGATAGTTTTTGTATAGAAAATTATAAATGCACATGTTTGAAAGTTGAAAAAAAAAAACCAATCAACCAAATTTTTTTACATACTAAATATTTATTTTTCTTTACTTTTCTCCTTTTCTGGGTTTGAACTCATGTAATTGGACCTAATATTTTGACGTCAGTTTGGCCGAGTTGGTTAAGGCGACAGACTTGAAATCTGTTGGGCTACGCCCGCGTAGGTTCAAATCCTGCAGCTGACGAAATTCATTTTGCTTTTTAAATTTTGTTTTTTTTTCACAATTTTGTTTTATTTACTTGTCCTCTTCCTCTAATTCAGAGTCTGAATCGGTCTCTGAATCGGTTTCGTCGAGCGGACTTATCCTGGGCGGTAAATCGCCCAGATCCTCCATTTTGCGGCGTAAAGTCATTAGCGGCAGCGAGAGAGAAAACACGCTTTGAGTGGTCAAAAGCTTGTCGACAAGCTCGTCCATGCAAATAATCTCGTGCTTGCCGCTATGCAAACGCTTGCGCAGCTTGCGATAGTCCTTGTACAGGGGCTCGAGCTTTGAATATATATCCTTTGGTTTTTGGGTCATCCGGAAATAGACAAGCGCAAGAGCCCGCAGATACTTAAAGTCCTCTTGGTCCACCAGAGCATCGACCATGTCGCGGTCAGGCTGCAGCTGAAGGAGCTTGAGCAAGAGACAGAGAAACTCTGTTGGTCGGTTTGTGCGGCCAAAGCAGCCGCCTATGGATGTCAGGCTGACGGCCTTTTCCATCACGCCTGTGACTGTCAGGCCAAAGCAGTGCTCCTTCCAGTATAGCGAGTCGTAGATACGCTGCCTGTATGTCTTGTCGATAAGATACTGCGGGTTTGTGCCGTGCACATATAGCGCTGTGTTGGCTGTTCTGTTAGCCATATGGGGAGAATCCAGAGAGAGAGAAAAATAACAAGATTATCGTGGAATACAGACTAAATGTCGATGTTTATAGAAAATTTATATTCCAAAAACAAAAGTTTAGATATTTTTGCTTATGGGGGGCTAAAAGGAAGAGTATGGTGACAAGTGTACTTTTTTTTCTATTTCTTGAGGCCCTGCTTTACAATCTGGGTCAGGTCTACGCCAGCAGCACCCATCTTGCGATGCGCGTTTTCCAGAACCGCGGCCTGCTGATGCGTACTGTTACTCGAGTTATGCTCAAGCTGCTTGCGCTCTCTTTCCCTCTGCCTATTGATCTTGTCAATCTTGTTCTTGCCGCTATAGTGGCCGTGGAACGCATGCGAGAGCTGCTTATAGGCCTCCTTGGTCGACAGCTGGCGGCCCGACTCATCGACATACTCGAGCTTAACACTGGGCTTATAGTCCTTCATGCGCTCCTCGTACTCGCGCGCCCACTTACGATCGAGCAACTCCTGCTCCCTGGCCCGCATCTCGTCGATTTCCTTCTGCGTCAAAACATCGGCCTTGCCACGACGGCCCTTCTCGGGCTGCTGAGATACGGGAGACTGCGCCAACTGACGGCCCATCTGCTTGATTCGCTGACGCTCTTTCAGCAGCTCGGCTTCTTTAAGACGCTGCTCGGCAATCCAGGCTTCGCGGCTGCGCTGCTGCTGCTCGAATCGCTTTTGCTCGTCGGTCATCTTGTCTAGCATGTTGCGCTGACGCAGAAAGCTCAGAGTGGCTGCTAGGCCTGTGCCGAAGATCTGCTCGGGCTGGTCCACTGCTGCTGCTGCTGCTGGCATATTTGACTGCTCAGCCAATGGCGGGGGATTAGCCTGCGCTGTTGCTGCTACAGGTTTGTGTTTGCTGGCTGGCGCCTCTGTATCTTGGCGCGCTCTAGTTCCCTTGATAATCAACGCCTCTGCCTCTGCCTCGCCTTCTTCCTTTGTTTCTTCTTCTTTAGTTTCTTCTTCTTTTGTTTCTTCTTTTCGTCCAACGGAATCAGCAGCAGCGGAGGCAGGCTGCATGGCTGCGTCGTCGAGGTCAGTGGCGGACCTGAGAGCCTGCACAAACTCAATTGTACTAGACAGAACCAGCTCCGAGCCAGAAGCCGACGAGCCACGAGGATCAATATCCATCTTTGCCTGATCTTCGCTGCGGATCATCCGAGCAATATCTTTAGCTTCGTCTTCGCCCGATCTGCCCATCTTCTTTCTCCCCGCTCTGCCAGTAGTCGTGCGACGGACTCGCAAAATTGCCTTTTGCAGGTCGTCGTCATCGTCGGCAAACTGCGAGTCGTCTACAATGTTGCTTTCTCTGGTCAAAAGCGAGTTGACCTTGTCTGCGTTAACTATCTCTGCAAAATCATTAGTGGTGGTTTTCTTTGATGCCTTTTTGGACTTTTTCGGTTTGCGTGGCTTTTTAAACAGCGAGGCAGCCTCGGTCTCGGTGTAAAAGTCGCTGGCCAACTGCGTGGCATTATTAGCAGACTCGGAATCAAAGGACACCTTAATCCGGCCACGATCACCACTGGCATTGGTAGCAAGTGAAGCTTCCCGATCTTGTTTCAGGCCGTCGATGGTTCCACCCGATTGGATAGTAAAAAACACTTGTTCTTCAGGGCCACCCTCAATATCGCCACTAAATGCATTACTGTTTCTGTTCATGCCAACAAGAGTCTCGATGCCCATCTGCCCAAGCTTAACGCTCCGCATATCTGCATTTTTCTTGGCCCGTTCAGCCTCTGCCAGCGCAATGCTCTGCAGCTCAACGCTCCCGTCCTCCATCTCGTCGATGGTCTTGTCCTGCAAAGTAAGCACATGTTCCTCCGTGCCGGCCTGCATCGCTGCAAAGTCCGCCAGGCTATGCGCGATTTTTGCTCCAGCCAAGTCATCTGCCGAATACTTGCTAGTCAACTGGGTTTTCTGCTTTTTGGCTGGCTTTTTCTCCGAGTTTTTGATTTTTTGCTCCTGGAGTCTTTGGCGGCTGCGCTCGATCCAGCGTAGGGCGTCGAGGTCTTCGTCAGACCCGTCGTTGTCCTCGAACGCCTGGCCTGCTGGCCGCTTCAATTTGGATTTAGACTGCGACATGCTAGTTAAAATAATAAGTAAAAAGTGAAGTAGACAAGGTTTTATAATTTTACAAGCGCATTTAACGCAAAATTTAATTTACTTTTTTTTTTTTTGGCTCGGCATGAAAAACTTTTTTGATTTTGCTAAAATAGACTTACAATGTGATATTTCAAGCTGTGGGATCTCGTGGCGTGATATTTAGAGAACATTATATGTTTTTAACTTGGGATAAGGGGGGTGAGAAAAGAGTGTAAAATTTTTGCGGAGTTTTTTTTTTTTTTTTTTTTTTTGGCAGCACCCAAAAAAATTGATTTAATTCAAAATTAAAAGTTTACTTACTAATAAAACAGTTTAAATATT